CGCCTCTTCCCAGGAAGAGCAATCTTCTTAATGGATGACTCATATTTGTGTATTTCTAAATGCCTCATTAACCCCATGACTACAGTAGAGGAAGAGAGACAAAACAATATATCATTCCTCACCTTTCCAATACTGAAATGTCAATATTTATAAGTGGGAGTAAGCTTGGGTACAAAAACCAAAAAGCTTATAACAGTAAGGCTACTATTCCATCATGCCTCTTTGTGATCATCGTCACCTCGAGACCCAATAAGTAACAATAACAGCTTCAAAACAGTACAGGTAATCTTGGACTTTGCAACCATTCATTTAGTGACTGTTCGAACTTACAATCATTTTTCACACTTCCAACCACTGCACCATCCCCATGGCCATGTGTTCAAATTTCACATGCTGGGCAATTGGTTCATATGTATGATGGTTGCAGTGTCCCAGGGGGATCACATGATCACCTCTTGTGACCTTCTGACAAGCAAAGTCAATGGGGAAGCTAGATTCCCTTAACAGCCATGGTATTAACCTAACAACTGCAGTGTCTCACTTAACAACTGTGGCAAGAAAGGTCATAAAATGGGACAAAACTTACTTAACGACTGTCTTGCTTAGAAATACAAATTTTGGGTTCGATTGCGGTCGTAAGTGGAGGACTACCTCTGCAGAGATCCTTGCACTAAATAAAAAGCTTAGTTCAATGAGCCACATAGTTTTTGTCAAGCATCAGTCATAAACAAGAGCAGAGATCCTGGACCTCCCAGAATCCACATTCAAGGCTGCTGCTACAGCTGAATTTTCTTCTCACAAAATTCCGTGGAAGCATTTCCACTAGCTTTAGTGTGGTCAGAAGTGGAGGAAAACGAAGGTAGATAACAAAAACATTGCATCCAGTCTGGACCAAAGCTTGACAATCTTTGTAAGGAAGCCAGGGCATTGTGGTATTGGAAAGGAATGTAGTATTATCTATGCCAAGTCTTGTGGATATCATAAATGCTAGTGTCTCCAGATAAAGGTCAACAGCACTGTTCAGGTTCACTAACCGATTTACAGAACCGAAACTCCTGGAACAAAAGAACAGCAATTTATCAAAGCAGAGACTGGAGGACTCCTTTGTGCCAAGAGGCACATTCAGTCTTGTACGGAATGTCAAGCAGTGGGCAGGGCCCAAAGAGAAAGAGGTATGGGCACAAATATCCCCCAGTGCTAATTTTCTAGCAGATTAATCGCTCGTTTATTCAAATGACACCAAAATTTTATACTGTCCTGTTCTACATCATGATAAAACCCTGATTCAATTCCCTAACAGTGAAACTGGGCTGGGTAAGTTACTATAAACCAACTAAAGACAAAGAAAAAGAAAAGAAAAATTATAGGATCAAAGCACTCTAATTCCATCCCTTTTCATTAGCATTAGAGTGCAATCGACTAAACAAAATGTGCAGAATATTTGGATGATGATGTAGCTTCTCGCTAAAAATCAGGGGCGGACTTTATTTTTTACCAATTTTCACAAGAAAATGAAGAGGGGGGTCCTGTACCTGTAGGAAAAGATATGTTTCGCCCCAAAGTTGCTAAAGCTTGACCTAGACCTTAAAACCATTTCTGGTCACATAGTATTTCTTACCCTACTCAGCTATAGGCTGCTTTCATAATATCAATGGAAATTTTACCCTATTGTTCATCATAAAAGAATTTGGAAGTATAACAGCTTAAGCCAGTTTAATGAAAACCACATACTGTACATTTTATGATTCGGCATTCAAATACATGAGTGTATCAAGACAGGAACTTCACCACTACACTTGGCCATATCATTTTCAAATTAAAATTTAGTTTTAGACTTTCTTGTTACTGTGCAGTAAAGATCAATTAAGTCCCTCCTGAAAGACTCTTTTATATAAAAAAACAAAGACAGCAAACTCTGAGCCCAGAGTTATTTGGCACAGACAACTAAGTCAACATTTGGAACTTTGCTCCTTTACCTACTACAGAACAATACTCAGAATTGTCTCTTAATGAGGTTGAAAGTACAGGGGATCCCAAAACTTTTGTGTTCAGAAATGTCAGCAGAGAATAAAATAAATATCATATTACTCCTGGATTTATTGTTTAAAAATATTTGCCTTTGCCTCACGGTTAGGTACTCTGTATCTTTTTTTGGTAAGCTAATGACTGTTGTTTCTACTCACCAAACCTTAAGGAGAACGAAGACAATGTCCAAAGTGAGCCATAGAATTATGTTTTTTAAGACCTGAAGTCCTAATTAATTTAGTGCCTCCCACTTGGAGGAGGAGTCAAGTGATAGTGATAAGGCAGGGTGCACTGGAATTCTTGCTTATAATCAATAAATTAGGAACATGAAGCATTCTAGCTTAGCACATTGAGAGAAGTCAGCTATGTTAATTTCTAATTCCTATGGCTGGAAAAAAAAATCCTCTTTGAGAAAATTCCAGGCTGCTTTTGGCTAATTCAGAGGCAAATGAGTTTTTGTAGTCAGTTATGGATGTGTTGAAGTGGAGACTAGACAATAATTTGCTGGGAATGCTTTAATTTGTATTCCTACACTCAGCAGTGTTGGATTTGTTAGCCCCTTTTAATGATTCTATTCTCATCCATAACAATTATGTCTCCCTTAGTTCATACAGGCTTTGGTCTTCTTCCAATTCAGGCTTTCTTCCCTTAGCTCTACCAAAATAAACACAGATCTGAATCACATACAAAAAGAAGAAGAAGAAGAAGAAGAAAGACCCCATCTGTTATTCAAAACATTTGGCAGAGCTGATCCAGTTTTCAATGTTGCACCTGAATAAAAATGAGCTCAGTCAAGTTTACTGATTGCAGGCTATTAGCCACAATTTAACAGAAAAAGTCTGGGCTCTTCGTATCTCAATATTCCAAAGTCCTTAGCGTGTCTGCAGACTGAATTAGGGACTTCACTTTGTCATTTTATCTTTGCTCATTACCATGCAATGTGGAGCTTACTCATATTAGCATACCTCTACTGAAAGCAACGGATTAATAGGAAAGCTCAAAAACATCCAGCTCTCCAAGGAGTGAGGAAGATAGGAGAAGAGAGTTCCAAGTTCCAAGGTTAATAGTAATATTTACAAAGAGTTCTCAGATAGAACTTAAATATTCAGCTTGCCTTAGAAACCTGAAGAAATGCCAGGAACCACACTAAACTCTTCCAGCCATTTACCAGGGATTGTCATTCAGCTGCTTTCAACGCAGAAAGCAGAATAAAAGACAAGAAAAGGTTTTATTGGGAGAATATCATGAACCCTGACTGAACTGTCAACTAGAACTAGTCCGTCTATCAACCCATTTCACCTGTTTCCAGCGCCAGTGGTTGTAATACTATAGTTTTTACCTCTCCAGTCCTCTTATTTGCCAGATAATGAGACCTGTCCTGGTCCTACTATATTGTAAGGTTGTTTGTGGGGGAAAAGTGGATATAGACTAAGCTTTGAGAGCAATGCTGATTTTCAAGAGCAAATATGAAAGACTGGGGATGACATGATAGCAGTGTTCCAATATCTCAGGGGTTGCCACATAGAAGAGGGGGGTCAACCTATTCCCCAAAGCATCTGAAGGCAGAACAAGAAGCAACAGCGAGAAACTAATCAAGGAGAGAAGCAACCTAGAATTAAGCAGAAATTTCTTGATAGTTAGAACAATTAATCAGTGGAACAGCCTGACTTCAGAGGTTGTGGTGTTCCACACTGGAGATTTTTAAGAAGAGATTGGACAAACATTTGTCTGGCATCTCCTTCTTGAGCAGGGAGTAGGACTAGAAGACCTCCAGGATTCCTTTCAATTCTGTTATTCTGTACAATAGTGGGTGAGGTTGTTATAAGGGGTGAGGAGCTTGCCTGAAACCCTGCCTCTGCCCTTCAGTTTCTGCCAGTATTACAGTATCTAAGCAAACATTCATCCAAAGAAGGTAAACACTGCACACATATTGTATACTGTGCAGAAATGGTAGGTAGCAAGGGTTACAATTAGTGCCTGAAGATTGTGAAAATGCCAGCAGGTATGATACTAAATTTCTCTTACTTGTGCATAAATCCGGTTTGGGTCATCCCAACAAGGCTAAGATGAAAGTGAAAGAATCAAAATTCCACAAGCATAGGCTGTACGAAGTCTCTGAAACTGTGTTTCCAGAAGTAAAGCAATGTATGTTGCATTTACACAAGTATTTTTTTTAAAAAAGAAGTTCAAAGCACTTAACTGAAATTCAAACTCTGAGGGTTTATTAGCTCCTTTGTGACACACAATAATATTTCAAAGGCAAAGCAGAAACAACTGCTTTGTACCAAGACCATCACACAAGGATTTGGTTTCCAAGAGATCTATAAATATGTAAACACACATTTCATTTTCTGCTTAGAAAATGGTAATTGTGTTAAAAGACAGACCTCCATATACTACTTATTCAATATTTGCCAGTCTACCTACCACTGTACTGTACTTTCTAAATTACTGAACAAATAAAATGTCCCTTACAAACTGGTGATTTTTTTCACAGACAAGTTACAGATAAACTGTATTGCCAATTTTATCCACAAGCCACAATAAATGAGTATGTTTTCAGACAGACCCTCTCATTCATCCCTTTTATATTATCTTTTTGCATAAATTGTTAAGTTTCCATTTCAAATGGATGAGCCTGCAACCTTAGCCATTTGAGTTTCATTTTCCCTACAGATAAAATTACTCTTTTTAAATGCTGCACTGATCAAATCGTCCTTTTGTCAGATACCCATGCACAAAACACATATATTTACAGGCACAAAACTGTGTTGCAGTTTGAACCCTGGCACTGAACATCTAAAAATATTTTTTTGCCTCAGTTTTCTTAGTATTACACTACCCACGGTTTAAGTTTAAGCAAGCATGATTTCTGTTTTAAGATTCCCCCATCTGAAAATGGGAAAAAAAAAAAACCTACACAGCTCTGAATCAACAGTCCTTGCTCTTAAGAAATGCAGATCTTTCTGACATACCTTACAAACGGAGAGGAGGATTCCCTCTTCGGCGCTGGACTTTTCAACAGCTTCACTCACATTTCAATAGTTCCAAGACATGTCACAGCCAGCAAGAGCTCAGACTGAAAAAATAAAACAATTTCCCCCTTTCCGTCCTTCTTCCTTGCTGCATGGGAAAGCTTTACACGTTATAGACTTGAAAGTGCACTCATCTCCCTCCCTCTCGTCACTACAAGAAATAATCTCCTCCCTGCTATTAGAAGCATGTTACCATTATCTCTTAAAGCACATGTCACCACACATATGCAAAAGCTGTGTGAAAGCTATATTTATTTATACAGGAAGCACGAGCCACAGCACTTCCTAGTTCCCAAATCCCATTTCAACGGCAGGTGATTATTTTTAACCCTCCCAGAGGCTGGCTGATGCCTAACTTACCTTTTTATTTTTTTTATTTTAATTAAGAGCAAATTCTTCCTGAATTCTAACTGGGTAGTCCAGGAAAGCTATCAAAACATTTTGTTTGAGCTGTAATTAAAGAGTTGGATCACAATTGATTTGGAACGCGCGGACGCACACACGCACACACACATACACACAAAGACAAACACATCATAAGCTTTTGATTAGAGCTGCTGCTTTTTATTTCTTCCAGACTTCTTGGTCTTTAACTGTTGTGAGAGACACAGAAACACAACAAAGTGTATCATAAGGGCTGCATCCACTGAATTTCTTTACGTTATACACATCTATTAATGGTACAGCCAATGTGTTTAGAGATGGGTTATGCTGCTCAGAATTCATTTTTCTGTTGTCTTATACAGCACCCCAAAGTTTAGTCGTGGGAGAGGAACTACACTGAATGTAACACACAAAAGCAACATTAGATTGATGTAGTAGTGGTTAAGATGCTAACTAGAAACTGGGAGACTGAATTTGAGTTCTCCCTTAGACATGAAATCTGGCTGCGTGACTTTGGCAAGGAACCTTCTCTCGGCCCAACCCACCTCACACGACTATTATTGTGGGGAAAGTAGGGACTAGATGCATTATGTTATGTCTCCTTGACTGTATGCCTCCAAATTAAAGATCAGAAAGAAATAATAATAATAATAATAATAATAATAATAATAATAATAATAATAATTTTATTTCTATACCGCCCTTCTCCCGAAGGACTCAGGGCGGTGTACAGCCAGTTTAAAAACACAAGACACAACAATAATTAAAAATTAAAATAATTAAATAGATTTGGCTGATTTAAAACTCTAAAAATTAAAATACCCCAATTTAAAATTATTATATTGACAGCCCTGCCTGGCGGAACAACAAGGTCTTCAATGCGCAGCGGAACACCCGGAGGTCGGAGATCTTGCGTATTTCCGGGGGCAGTTCATTCCACAGGGCTGGGGCTCCCACAGAGAAGGCCCTCCCCCTGGGCGTCGCCGGCCGACATAACTTGGCTGATGGCACCCTGAGGAGACCCTCTCTGTGGGAACGGACTGGTCGGTGGGAGGCTATTGGTGGCAGAAGATGGTCTCGAAGGTACTAATGTAAGATTAGATTGATAGATAGATAGATAGATAGATAGATAGATAGATAGATAGATAGGGTTAGGGTTAGGGTTAGGGTTAGGGTTAGGGTTAGGGTTAGGGTTAGGGTCGGATTAGGGTTAGGGTTAGGGTTAGGGTTAGGGTTAGGGTCGGATGGGGACAGACAGACAGACATGTAAATGTTATCAGTGTAAAAATATATAATGGTGCCATATCCTGAAATATTAAACCTATGAGGCTTTCCTATTGCTGAACTGAAATGCTATCTTTCCTCCCCTCATTGAATCAGCATGAAATTTGCCTTGCCTGGGAAGTCTGAAGAAGTGTCAAAAGCTACCCTAAACTTTTCCAGCCATTTACCAGTGGTTGTTGTTCAATTGGTTTCGGGGGAGGGGGGGAAGCATAAGCTATAAGAGAAATAGGAGCATAGATGACTTTGCACTAAGATGGAGTGCATGTTCTAAGTCACTTATAACTGGATTTCTGCAATAAGCCATAAAAAAAGGGGGGGGTATTCTTTTTCTGATTATGAGTCTGATGTTCCTTATTATGAAAACAATCCATTTGCCAAGACTGAATGCCTTTCAGAACTTCAGTGCAGTGTAAAATGACTACCTACAACTGCTGCACATCGGACGTCAGATAGTATCATTTCTGGCAAGCAAATTCCAAAGCATCTATATATATAAATACGGACCATGCAAATCTGCAAAATGTTATATAATCTATTATTGGTATATAAATAGCCCAGCCTTAATTTTATACAGTCTAATTCTATTATTGTTTCTTAATAATAGGCTACTGTGTTTATTGGACATTCTTCCTGAATACACATGTAGTAGTATTGTAGCGTAATTGTTATTTAATCACAGGTTACAACAAAGCAAAATGTTAAATGCTTCCCATGTTAACTAGGTTTGAGCTACTTCTACAGAATCTAGCAAAGTGTGTTAAGAACTGTTACACTGAATTTGTAGGTGAGTGATTTTTCTCCTTCCTTTTACAACTAACACTGTGTCTAAAAATTAGCAAAGAAGGTATTTCTATTTTTCTATCTGACAGGAAATCATGAAAAATCAGAATTTCCAAGTAGAGAGAGAACTTTAAACAGGTACAATGACAACACTGTAGCTTCTCTGTAGAGCCAGTTGAATGCATGGGAAGAAGGAAGCCGGATTGCTTATTCCCTTTCATAGTTCAAGCTGACCACAGAAATGGTGTATGCTATATAGAAACACAGAAGATTTCTGAGTATAAAGGGTTTAGATGACCCTCCTCATCCTTTCACCTGGAAAAGTGAGGGACTGGCAAAGTCAGGATCATGCAGCCACTGCTTCAAGGAACTATTACAAAGTTGAAATGTCCAAAAACTTAATTCTTCTCACAGTTCCTGCTGGGAAAGGTCAGGTAGAAGCAAAATCAATTGAGTCTCACTGCTCCAAGATACATAGTGTGTCTTAAAAATGACAAGCTCCCAGGAAGATGGATGCTATCCAGTCTTGGAATTGAGAGATTCTCCATTTTATGTCAATTAACTGGACAATATATGTAATTTTAGAACAATATTTTACACATTATTTCATTTCAGTTATCTGATGTACTGAAAATGGTATTGGAGAGATATTTTCTTAAGTAACATTTTAGAACAGTAGAGATTCTCAGTCATCCAGGTCATGGCTGTCCCAAAGGTGCTTTTTCAGGAGGCAACTGGACTTTCTTGGTTTTTTTTCTCTTTTGAAGACATTTCGCTTCTCATCCAAGAAGCTTCTTCGGCTCTTGGATGAGAAGCGAAACATCTTTAAAAAAAAAAAAAAAGTCCAGTTGCCTCCTGAAAAAGCACCTTTGGGACAACCATGACCTAGATAACTGAGAATTTCTACAGACTTTTAGCTATATAATTTGGGATGAACACCCTTTGAATGGTATGGGAGTAGGAATGGATTTCCAGAGGAAAAAAATGGCAGATTACAGGAACCAGGAGCACTACTCAGGTGACCCTGAGGACACAGATAAACCTCCAAGTGCTTCAAGGACCCTTTAAAAGGATGCAAATAACCAGCTGTTTGCAAGAATATAAATCCGTCCATTCCCCACTATCCTGTCAGAGCTGAAGAAGCTTCTTGGATGAGAAGCGAAACGTCTTCAAAGAGAAAAACAAGAAAGTCCAGTTGCCTCCTGAAAAAGCACCTTTGGGATTTTTAGAACAGGCTTTGTGTTCTACATGACACATGTCCTCTTATTCACAATTTCACCAGATTACGGATCTCACACTCAAAACCATCAGCCTCAAACATATTAGAAGACGACAAGTCATTTCGAAAAAGCATTGTTGAATTGACCCTTAAGTGAGATGGTTCCAACTGGGTTTTGTCTCTTCCTAAACAAGCCATTGTTGGATCCAACAGTGTTGAATAATTTCTAATCAAGTTTCCCTTTCTGGAAAAGGTTCTTGAGAAGGTAGTCAGGCTGCAGGTTAAGAGGGCCCTATAGAGGAAGATGATTCATCAGATCCTGTCTAGCTGCGTTTCAATCCGAAGCACAGTGCTAAATCAGCATTGATAACACTTAGTGACAACATGGGGCAAGGCCAGGATGGGAGTTGTGCATCCATTCTGGTCCTCCTTAATTTCTCAACAGTTTGATCTACCATCAATCAGAAATTAAGCTTAAAAGGAAATTGAAGAAAATGAGGATCTTTAGCTTTGAGAAGAGAATAGAGTACATCTGGGATCCCCAACCCCTGGACTGGCACCGGGACATGACATCAGTGGTGGTATTCAGCCGGTTCTATCCAGTTCAGGAGAACTGGTAGGGGCGGCTGCGGGAGGCTCCACCCACCCATCCGGATGTCATCACGTCCCGTTTTTGCTGCTCTGTGCATGGGCAGAAGGTCCTGTGCATGCGTGGAGGTGGCGCGTGCTCACATTTGCGAACCGGTAGTGAAGGTAAGTGAATAGCACCCCTGCATGGCATGCCAGGAACCGGGCTGCACAAACAAGCGAAGCCCCATCTGCAGTATACAGGCAGCATACAAAACCACACCCCCTCTAGTCCGTGGAAGAGCCTCTCTCCACAGAACCGGCCCCTGGTGTCCAAAAGGTTGGGGGCTGCTGAAGTACATTACTCATTATTCAAAGAGCTGAACAGAGTACAGGACATGGACTAATGAATTTCAATTATAAGATGGCAGATTCGTGTAAGACAATTATCCAGAATGGGATGGGTTTCCTTCTCTGGATATGCTTAAGCAGAGGCTGTATCTGTCGTGGCAGTTTTTAATTTGGATTCTTACCCCAAGCAATGGAACAGACCACTGGCTGAGGAATTCTGGGAGTTGAAGTCCACAAGTCTTAAAGTTGCCAAGTTTGGAGGCCCCTGGAATAGACTCAATGGACATTTCCACCTGTATGATTTGATAAACCCATAACATATACACACACATTTTAAAACATATTGAAAATTCAGTACACAGAGGGGTTTTTAAGACTCTTATTGTACAACTGGTTATTATGGTACCAAATGCACCCCTTTCTAATTCAGAGCAGGAACAAAGGCTAATAAAATTAATCCCTTTGGAATATGGAATTTCACACCCACTATCTGACTACTGCATTGTTATCCCAAAGATACAAAACTGGAACAGTGGGTAGAATTCTATTTTTACTAGCACTAAAATAATGTCAATCTTTCCTTTGGTCTGAGATACCATCACTTTATTTTGATTCAGGTTGCTTTCTTTGTCAATTTTCTGCTCACTTTTGAAACGGTTACAGCATTGGAGTAAATATCAATCATCATCTGGCCT